TTGTTTCCCCTCCGGTGGAGGCGGCGCTAGGGTTCGGCGTCCGTGGCGGCAAGGGTGCAACACAGTCAGCGGCTGGGGCTAGGGTGGCTGGATCCATGGCTGCTCGTGCAAGGGCGATGGGATCCTTGGTGGCTCATGTGAGTTCGTTAGGATCCATGGCTACTCCTCTAATGGCGGCCCAATCCATCAGTACCTAGGTCCCCGGTGAGGTTGCCACCGATGGATGCCGCGTCCGCCTTTCCACCCCTGGATCGGCACGTTGGCCTGGGCGGCTAGCCACCGCCGCGACGATGACACCAACCTAGGGTTTCGCCTGTAGCTCAGCTCGTCGGCCATACCTCCTGGTACCTCACCCTCTCCTCCTCCTCCTCCTAATTCGTCTCATCGCTCCTCCCCAAGTCCTCTCTCCATCCATCTCCCCTTTCAACAGGTGATTGGCTGGCACTGCAGCTTGCGCTGCCTCCCTAGCGCGGCAGCCCTCGGCCGCGGCAGTCCCGGCACAGGCGCACTCGGCGCGGCGGCTCTGGACGCGGCAGCCCTGGCACGGGCGCCCCTCACACCGCGGCGGCCTGGCCAGGCCCCAACTGTCGCTGTCTCAGCGTGGTGACTCTGCTTCGCGGGGCTGCTCCCCGGCGCATTCCTCCCGCAGTCCGCCTTGGTTGCAGTGGCCGGCTATCACCTCCCACAAGACCAGCAACTGCCACCAATGCCTGCTGCCGGTACCGTCTCCCTTGTCCTCTACTGTTATCTTCGCATTGTCGCCGCTGCAACTCGATTGACAGTTCATTTGGTTTAGCTTCCCTGTAGATCAAAGCCTGTCAACTGGTTCATGATTCATATGTTGCTTTATACTTAAAGAATTTCTAATGGCACACATTTACCTAAAGAATTTCACGCATGTATGCTGCTTTATACTTCAAATTCACAACAGATTTCAGTGGTATATGCATCCTATGCTTACACACCCACAAGAGATCAGATGATTTTGTTTTTGCCTTCCATGCCCTTTGACTTGTCTTCTTTTTTACATTTAGGTTTGCGTTGGTTATTATATGGTCTTTACCTAAGATAGACACGAATAAGCCATTCTTTATTCATGTTAGAGTATACTGCTCCTGGAAATGTCAATAAAGGGTTACGATGCTAATCATTCTTCGGTCCCTTGTTGTGCTCTTCCAAGGTTTTGGGGTTAAGGGGACATCCCTCGATATGTTCGTGCCTGATGGATTCAGCTGTATATCTATGTGTCTGACAACAAAGCACAGGTAAATAAAACTGCAATGCCAATTGCAGAAATACCTTTGTCGGTGATTCATTATTTCATACTGTTTCTCTCTACTCCTTATCTTGTATTATAGTTTGTCCCTGCATTTAATTTATTTAACAAAAAAAGGTGGTCTCACCAACAGTTAAAATTATGTATATTCAGTCCAAACCATAGGCCTAAATATAGGGAATAATTTTGCCTTTTCAAACAATGAAGGGACTGTTTTTTAGTTTATTGCTGCATCACGCCTCAGATGCTTTGTGTAGATTAAGATGGACGCTTCTATTACATCATGCGGCTTCTAATTAGATGTGACTAGCAAAACAAAGACATTCACTTAATTGTCACATTCACTTAGTTGCATTTGATACATTTTTCCCAACTATTCCAGGTCAAAATTCAAAAATGGTACTGGATCGAATATATATGGATCTGGGGCTATTACATTTCTTAGTTCTTCTAGCTAGAGCTTATCTGGATACTGCTTCGTGTTCTAAAAAAATTCTCCAGTTAGAAATTCAGTCATCTATGTATACATTTTTCCCCACCTACCGGACGATCTTACCGTGATGTTTGTTCCTTAGTAGTATTGATTTTTTTTTATTTTTTTGTACAGGTTTGTTAAAGTGAGTAAGCGACAAGTGCGTACCCTTTTTCTAACAAGATAACCTTATAGCAGGGTTCATGATAGCCCTATGCCGATGCCGCCCACACAAAGAAGAATGCTGGTGTCCAATTCTATATGCCCCCAATGCTGGTAGCCGTAAAGGATATAGTGAAGAATCTACATCCCACCACAGCGAGGTACATACAATTGATAATAGTCTGGCTTGTTTTACTGGGTTAATTGTTTAGGTACAGCTGAAAGCTACAGCTTAGGTGTATATTGTAGTCGATTTATATAGTACATCATAGCTAAGGTCGGTTGTTGTGGGCTATGGCAACAGACATATTACAACCCAAAACCAGTTTACATGTCCTGGTCAGACAACATTAAGGGACTATTTAATCCCTTGTATTTTCTTAAGTCCCTAGAGCAACAGTGCTTCTATACATTTGGATATTGTTCTAATTTTCTGTAAGAGATAACTGAACTTCTATTACTACATTAGTTGAATACACACCATTTTTTTCATCTCTTCTCTTTGCAGGAGATCATCTCGTCGAGGGGATTGGATTTTCTACTGATCTGAGAGCACGTGCCAATTGAATCATGTTAAGGTTATAAGGTTAGTTTCAGTCAGACTGTCACATACTTAATGGCCTAGTCTCTTTTGTTTTCATATGATTTAGTAGAGCTCTTGTTAATGGAGCAGTTGAAATCATATGAAAGCAGTCACACGAATTAGACTTGTGAATTATGTCTATTTAATGATGGATTGTATATATTCTTGTGAATTAACTTTACTAACAAGTAAAGTTAATCAGTTAATTATATTTTTACATGTGTGCATGAGCTGTCCAGTGTGCATGAGCCTAGTTACTTCACATCGATTTTCAAGACATATACATATCGACAATCCTCATTAGCTTATATGTTTATATACATACTTGTAACGTTCAGTTAGGTAAAAATCCCCAGTACCAACGCCTTGTGCTCTTGTGCTTGTGGTCAGATTTGAATTATATAATTATATATATATATATATATATATATATATATAGAACTACTATCCTGTAGCTGGCTACAAAATAACTTATTTTGTAGCCACTTCGAGTTACGATAATTATTATGTTAATTTACGATATTACAGTAACTCCTGGCTAAATAGTTTACTATAACGTTATGGTAAATATCCCTATGTGTTATAATAACTCAACTATCGTAAATATGTATTAACATTATCATAAATTAGTATATAAAATTATCGTAAATGGAGGTGGCTATAGAATAACTTATTTTGTAGTTAGCTACTGAATATACTCTTCATATATATATATATATATATGTCGAATTTGAATTGTAAATTTGAAAAATTTTTGACGGAAAAATGTATGAACTGCCCCTACAAACAGGTATTATACACCAGCCGCCTCTACAAATACATGATTTGTAGAGACGGTATGATAGGGACGGCTGGCCGAGCCGCCTCTACAAACCATCGCAAGCCGCCCCTACAAATGCTTATTGTAGTAGCCATTCTATTTGCCCTACTGTATATAGATTGTCGACATGAATATGGTCATACGGAGATAATGGAGTTGACGATGCATTGCTATTGATATATGTGTATGGCTAGCCAACCACTAGCGCAAAACCTTACACATTTTTTTTTTGTAAACAAAATACATGAAAATATAGATGCCATTAATAAGTGCGTCTATATCACGATCTTGAATTAATAGCTAGGATGGATGCTTGCATGGGCAAGCGTATAGATTTATAATTTTTTTAATGTGTAGCGAAGAATGGTCGATTTCTCTGTGAATTAAGCTTTTGGCCTCCGACCATGCATGTCGGCAGATCATTTTTCTATTCAGAATCGGCGGGACAATTGAACATGCGGGGGGTTCGCAAATATATATCAACGTTTTTTCTCATGAATTAGGCTTGCATGTCAACGTTTTTTCTCGTGTTGTCTAGTCTGTTATTCAAGAGACTTCAGGGTTCAGGCTTATCACAATGGCATAATGTGTCAAATATGCATGTTTGGGACATGGTCGGTTATTCAGGAGGCTTCGGGCTTATCGCAACAGTCATAATGTGTCAACTATATAGTTTGAAACTTGGCTATGAGATCTTAGTAAAGAACTAAAAATGTTAAATTCGTATAATGTGCTGCTACTACAACTAGTGAAGCTAACGCTTTGGTTATGCAGGCCTGTTGGTCAGTATGCTTATGCAAGGCTGATATGATTCTTTGAAAATAAACAGAATTATTCACCATTGCAAGTTATTTTCTCAGTTATACATTGGCTTTGTATATAGACCATCATACAGAAGTCACATTGTATGATTTAGTTGCAGTGGCATCTCGATCAACTATTGGCGTGGGTAGCCAAAGTTTTTACCCAATGAATGGCAGTGGCAATCGTGTCTATAGATTGAGTGTTATTTGTGTCTGTATTTTTTTGAGTCTTTTTGTAAGACCGTGTGTAGCCTAGTTATACAAATGACGGGAGTGTTTCAAGATCTTTGTATCAACTCAACATAATGAGCTTGAAATTAATAATACTTCCTTTATGAAAAAAACAATACTGCTAATTAGTCTTTCGTGCAGCATACAATAATTAACACATCAGAAATATAATTTTCTCCTTCTGATTATAAATTTATAATTGGGGCTGGGTCAGTTTTTTGTTTCTAACTTTCAAATATTTAATAGTTCTATTTTGTAGAAACAACTTGAATTATTGGAAACATTGCTGAAGGTTGAACATTTTCATTGTGTTTACGGCTCCAATAGTTTTCCAAATTAACGTTCAAGTCAGAAACACGGTTATCTAAACTGATATTTTAGTTAGTTACTATATATATACGGATTATACTGACCAATTAATGTAGAGGAAGACATCAGTAACCTTGTTAAAGGGTGGACAGATTGAACAGTGTGTTTTAATGTATGCATGTAATGTGACCAATCACCAGCACCATATCTGCTTTTCATTTATATTTTTTCAAATTAAAAAATTCTGTTGAAATGTGCAGGAAAAGCTTCCCTATAAAATGAATCCACCCTACCCTGTCGATATGCCCAACAAGCTAGCATAGACAGTCGTGCCATTACAAACAATGGCGTTTCCATTCTTGCTACAGCTACTCATCATCTCCACACTTGTCGTATCGTTGTATCTTAGGTTGTGGAGATCAATGAATGGCTCGTTGCGCCCCATAGACTGGCCAGTAGTTGGCGTTCTGCCGGGCCTCATTTCTAGGCTCCACAACCTACACGACGAACTCACAGTCGTCCTTGCCGCCTCCGGCTGCAACTTCAAGGCACAAGGGCCACTAGGAAGTGGCATGCGGTTCTTCATTACCGCTGACCCGGCAAATGTCCGGCACATCTTCACCTCCAACCATGCGAACTACCCCAAGGGCGAGGAGCTCGCCGAGATCTTCGACATCGTGAGCGGCAGCATCCTCACCGTCGACGGCGAGGCCTGCCGCCAGCAGCGGGGGATGTTCCAGAGGGTCCTGAGCAACCCACGGGTACTTGAGCTGATGTCCCGTTGCTGCCGGGACAAGGTGGTGGATGGCCTGCTCCCGTTCTTAACCCGCATGGAGAGTGCCAGGACCCCGTTAGACATGCAGGACCTGATGACGAGGCTCATATTCGACCTCACTGCCACTCCGATCTTCGGAGTGGACCCTGGTTGCCTATCTGCCGACATGCCATCGATTCATGTCGCGGCCGCCATGGACACGGTCATGGAGGTCGGCCTTTTGCGGCACACTGTGCCGGCCTCCTGCTGGAAGGTGATGAGACAGCTGAACCTTGGCCCGGAGAGGAAGCTGACCGTGGCGCACACACTGCTGCATGGGTTCATCACGGAGATGATGGAGAAGACGAGAGCCAGGTGCTCCGATCGTGACGAGCTGGCCGCCGTGGACATTCTTTCTGGTGACCCGGCATACAGCAGCGACAAGGCCCTGCTGAGTAGGATACTCATCAACTACATGATCGCTGGCCGGGACACTGTTGGCACAACACTGCCGTGGGTTTTCTACAACCTCGCCAAGAATCCCCGCGTCGTCTCCGGTATCTGAGAGGAATTGGCTCACCTCGCATCTCTCAAGGCCTCTGCTGCCGCAGGCAACATGGTGTTCTTTGAGTCGGAGGAGACTAAAGATCTAGTCTACCTTCAGGCAGCCTTGTTCGAGTCTCTGAGGCTGTACCCGCCAGGCCCGTTCGAGCGCAAGGTGGTGGTTGCCGATGATGTTCTCCCAAGCGGCCACCGGTTGTGCTCTGGCGAAACCATCCTGATCTCCATCTATTCCATGGGCAGGATGGAAGCCTTGTGGGAGAAGGATTGCCATGAGTACAGGCCCGAGAGGTGGCTCTCTGAAGATGGCGGTAAGCTGCGGTATGTGCCATCTCACAAATTCATGGCTTTTAACTCAGGGCCGAGGATGTGCCTTGGCAAGGACATAGCAATCACGCAGATGAAGACAATTGTTGCCGCCGTCATATGGAACTTCGATTTGGAGCTGTTGGAAGGGCAGAGCATCCAGCCCAAGCTGTCGTGTATTCTACAAATAAAGAACGGGCTCAAGATGAAGGTTAAGAAGAGGTAGAAAGAACATGATCTACAATAAGCTAGTAGCTGTGTTATCGTGAGCAAAATATGTTACGTGCAGTATAACTACAAACTAAGGCATGCGCCTTCATGGGGTTTCAAACATATCAATATCCTAAAGATATTAGGAGCGAAACCGCGAAATGCAAACATGCAATAACAATAAATCTTTCTTCTATACTATAAAAGCACATGTTTTCCTCAATTTGCTTCCCATCATACCGTTTGTACCCACCTCAACTTTTTTGCTTATTGGTTTCTATGGGAATAATCCTTGTACACTACGTGGAAACGACTTCTAGAGACGGTCAAAAGTGGCTTCAGGGGGAGGGAGTTTTCGAAAGCAATACTATGCCATCGATTGTAAATATGTGGCCTTTGTAGAACCGGGCTTACAACAACCTTTTCAAATGATTTTCAGGTATAGTTGGCTTAATACAATTGCCCCTGGAAATGCATTTCCAGGCATAGTTTGTTTAAGTAACACTACAGGAATCCTGTTAATCCATGATGAAAATTTTTCGTCACGGATCAGAAAAAAAACGTCACCAAGCAGCATCTGTGATGATTTCAGATCATGATGTTTTGTTGAAAATCATCACAGATTAACAGAATTGGTGACGATCTTAAATCGTCACGGTAGAGCCCGAGGCCTAGTTAGCCCAGCTCAAGTCCATTTCCTGTGATGAAAAATAAACGACACAGATGAACCACCATGTCATCATGGATGCTTATATGGATGCTTACGTGGATGATGACGTTGACACTATCTCAACCCATTTATTAACCAGCCAAAATTTAAGACGGGCCAATTTTTTGCCCAATTTTAGCCATTTTCGCAGCTCTATTTCAGCCATTTTGGTAGCCCAGTTTCAGAAATTTTGAAGCCCAATTTCGTCATTAATTTTTAGCACACTTTTTAGCCCACTGCTATAGCACATACACCCATATACACTGTAAGGGACCGTGACGCCTAAAAGGGAGGTGAATTAGGCAACTTAAAACTCTAACTCTAAATTATGGCCTCTTTCTCTACCTAGTCAAAATTTATACAAGAAAGTAATCTAAATGTGCAACTACGGTTTTGCGATTGTGTTGCTATCTCTACCGCAAAAAGAAGTTATGCAACCTAGATTCCAAACCTATCAATTAGCCTATCACTAAGATAGGAAAGTAAAGCACAAATCAAGATTGCAATGTAAATGCGGAAGCTAAAGAGTAAGGTAGAGATATGCAAACTCCCGTCGACGACTCTATTATTTTTACCAAGGTATCGAGAAGCGCGCAAGCTTCCCCCTAGTCCTCATCCCTCCCCTCGCAAGAAATCCCTCGCAAGGGCCAAGCTCCTGGTCGGGTAACTCGGTGGATAGCCCCGGGCCTTCCCCACGCGCAAATGGGTCTCCGGTGTGCCTTCCGGCAAGCCTCTCCCGGACCGCTCCCTGCCGTCTTCACTATCAATCTTCCGGCTGAAACACCGTGGGCCTTGTTCCCTCTGGTATACGGTGGCGGCCACACCACAAATGCGGTTTGTGTGATCTCGCAAGACTACAAGCCCCTTCGATGTACAACAATGGTGCGCGCAAGCACCGAGTGGTAAGAGGTATGCAAACCTCACTAAACACTAGGCCTAAACCTAGAGCAAGCGCATAAGCGGTGGTCTAATCAACCTAAGCACTTCGCAAAAGTACCTACGCTAATCACCTAATGAATCACTAAGCACTATGCAAGTGGAGATCACTAAAATAGTGTATCAACACCCTTGGTATGTTTCCTCAGCTATCCACATCTCAAATAGCCAGTTGGGGGTGTATTTATAAGCCCCACTGAGAAAGTAGCCGTGGGGGGCGAAACCTAGCTTTCTGCTACTGACCGAATGCTGCTGTTGTCCTGACCGAACGTGTCCGGTCGTCTCGACCCTTAGAGCGTGCGTGTTGATCGGACTCTGGCCCGAGTCCGGCCTCACTCGATCAGGCTCGTCCGGTCGCGCTGGTGCCGCTCTGGAACCTCTCTAGACTCGATTAGACGCTGTACTTTGTGCGTCCGGTCGTCTAGTGCCACTGCGTCCGGTCACGCTGAAAACATTGCTGTGACGAAGAACAGTGTCATCGGTGCATCCAGTCACTACTTCGCTCAGCGTCCGGTCACAGCTGCTGATGCCTGCTGTTGTCGAGCAACTGATCGGACGTGTCCGGTTCCAATAAGGGCCGCGTCCGGTCACCTCTACCGAGCTCATTTCTCCATGATCTTGTGTCCGGCTTGGTTCCCATCTTCGTGCTTGGACTATGCTTGATATCTTGGGTCTTCTCTTGTGCTTCTAGGGTATTGCTTATGGTGTTGATCGTGGAATCATCATGTCACCTTCGTGCAAGTCACGTCTTACACCCTATTGAACTACAAAACAATTACTTACAAATTTATTAGTCCAATTTGGTTGTGTTCGTCATCAAACACCAAAATCTAAAGTAAATAGGCCTAGGGTCTATTTTTCTTACAATCTCCCCCTTTTTGTTGATTGATGACAATACGACCAAAACAAGCAAATGATAAAAATTTTGGAATTAAAAAACTATTTACTTGCTAGGATGCAATGCAAAGAGCAAGGTTATATGATGCTAAAAGATACTACATGTAAACATCTTTGAAAACTTATCTTGCCCTTGCAAATGTCCCCATGTGGCATTATGGATTTAAGCCTGCCCCTAACTCCATAATACACTATCCTCCCTTTCTCGGACCATTATCACTTGTAAATTATTATGATCGGGCTTGCTTTTGGTCCTACAAATTCTCCCCCTTTGGAATCAAACACCGAAAAAGGAAGACATTAGTAGCATAAAGGAGGGTCAAACTTTATGATCCTTTGTATGTGGAGTGGAATAGGTTATAAAATTTGACTCTCACATTACATAGACTAAGCTCCCCCTAAATATATGCATACATATGATAGAGAATGTAGTTTATGCATAATTGGTAAATTAATGCTCAAGGGAGTTTAATCTATATAATGTATGGAGAAAGCATATAAATACCAGAGTGAAATCAACATGATGAAATCGATTTAGAAATACCACATGTGGAAACCAATTTGATTTATATCACTTGCAATAGGTGGTGGATATTTGAAGTATGATGCTTAACTCCGGAGACTCCATTTTCTTTGCAATAAGACTACTACACACATGATAAGCTTGAAAAGGTATTAGTCTCAAAGCATCCAACTTGTAGAGTAACCTCCCCCTAAATTTGTGCACACAAGCATGGAATACTTGTAGGAGACATGCACATTGATTTTAGAATCAAAAAATACCACTTGAAAGATGACATCACATGAATATGAGAATCATTTTCAAAAGTGATATTCAGGAGAAATTATCTACAATTTGGACTTTGGCACATATTTGATGAACAATTGTAAAACAAGCTATGTGCCGTGCTCCTAAACAATTTAAACCATATAGGTTTGCTCCAAGGGTTAAGAATGAAACCGAGCAAGCCTACCATAAGATATACCTAGTGTATGCAAAACAAAAGATTAAATATGCAAATGCAAATCTAGGCATGAAAAGGAACTAGATGCTTATTGAAATTGCAAGAAATTAAATCTAGTTACCTAACATGGGAAGGGGAATTTGGGTCCATAGTATTCACTAACCCACTTGCCAATTTCCTTGTCCATAATGATGCACCCTATGAAATGAACCCATACTTTGCCAAGTCTTCAAATTCCCCGAAGTCCATCGGACATCTCACTTCCCTTTCGGGATCTAAACCTTCTTGGTGCTCTTCATGTTGGAAATGATCTCCTTTGGCACCCAAATGCGTTTGGCCCCATTGTTGGCTTGTTTGTTCACCTTGATGGTCACCACCTTTTCATTTTTTTTTCTTCTTCAAGAGATAAGGTGTGGAGGCCTTTTTGTCCACCTTGTTGGTGTAGGTGTTGGAGAGCTTGCTTGCTTCCTTTTTGTTTTTCTCTTTCTTGTTAGCTCCTCCCCCATTTTTCACCTTGCACTCATAGGACTTGTGACCTTCCTTGTGGTATACGTAGCAAAGCATGGTTTGTCCTTCATCAAGCTTCTTCACTCCCTTGACGGTGTTATCTTGATGAAGTTGGGCTTGCTCCGTTTTGTCTTTTACTTGAGTCAAGTCCTTGGTAAGGCGAGCCACTTCTTACTTGAGTTGCTCATTCTCCATTGCAACCTCTTGTGTGCATGAATCTACAACAATTTTATCAACACAAATTTGGATGCACAAGGGTGAGTCTAAATATAAATCATTGCAAGAAGTAGAAGCATCCTTTTTAGGCATGTTAAAGATAGAACTTTTCTTTTTAGATGCCTTGGTGAGGATTGTACTAACGGCTTCAAGATTAGCAACTTTATTAGTTAGCTCATCATAATGTTTGCACATGGTTTCCATTTTAGCAAGCAAACTTTTATAAGCATCTTGAGAGCTAGCTAACTTTTCTTTTAATTTTTTATTTTTCTTTACAAGTTGCTCATCATTGATTGTGCATGCATTTGTTGTTGCACTAGACTCAAGTTGCTCAATTTTAGTAGATAGTTCAATATTGAGATTAGCAAATGTTTCATATTGTTCAAGCAAGATTTTATATGCTTCTTGTGAACTATCTAGCTTTTCTTGCAACATTTTTAGCTTTTTTTGTTGGTTAGTGCAAGCTTTAGCATATTTAAGATTTTCTTGCACAAGTTCATTAATAGAAGGTATTTCATTATCACTCTCACTCTCACTAGAGGATGATCTTTCATTACCTCGTGCCATAAGGCACACACGAGAAGAGCTTGATGATGAGTGCTTGTGACCTCGCCTCTTGTGATGGTCTTCTTCTTCACTTGAAGAATCATCCCATGACCTTATTGATATGAGGGCTTTGTCCTTGCACACCTTCTTCTCTGTCTTGGGTGTGGGCTTGTTTGGACAAACTTCCACAAAGTGCCCCAACTCACCGCATCCATAGCATCATTTTTTTCTTTACTCATT